TTACAGCTGAGCTCGGGCCTGTGCCTGCCATACCCTCTGGCTCCCTGGCCTCCCCGCCGGGACAGCTCTCCGCTGCTCAGTCCCGGAGGGGCCACACCCCGATACCGGCTTCCCTTCTTCCTGGGTTCGCTCTCCCCCCGCCCAGGCCCCTGCTTCCGGCCACCCCCAAACAGGGAGCTCACAGCCCCGTCCAGGCCCCTCTCCCACTCGGAAACAAGCAGAGGCAACTTAAAACTCGGCGGCCTGCCCATCGTCTTCCGGCTCCCTCCTTCTCCAGGAAGGAGTCCGGGTGGGGGAGGGCCGTGAGGAGAGTGCAAGGGGCTGCAAGGGGGGCCGCTGGCCCCCAGCAGCTGGAGGCGCCAGCTGGCCCCTTGGTTTCAAGGTCAGGGATGACCTGCAGCAGCATGAGGTCTGGGATGAAGGTCACTCAGGTCTTAACCTCTATGGGGAACTTTTACTCAAGTACAAACCTTCATACTCACATGGAAAATTGTTATTCACTAGGCTATTTTTTAATATTTTAAAAATATGATTTATCTTAAAAGACATAAAACCCAAAGGATATGGAAGGAAAATTGCTAGATACAGTTAAATATGAACACAGCATAAGGTTTAAATCAGCCGACAAAAACATTTTAGATAATTATATGCCTCATTGGCTAGAAAAGAGTATTCATCTCAGCCACTGAATATTTCACTCAGTAAATTTAAATTTAGATGACATTTCTACACCTATATCCTAGTAACATTAAAAAAAGAAACTAACAGTGACTTTTTTTCAGTTTTAAAATGTGTTAAGTTCTTAAAGAGAAAAAGTCTGTCCCATTTCAGGTCTTTGCCTCTTTTAAAAAAATTTTTTTAAAAAAAAAATATATTTTTTTTTAATGACTTCAGAGAGGAAGGGAGAGGGAGAGGAAGATAGAACATCAACGATGAGAGAGAATCACTGATTGGCTATCAGGTCTTTGTCTTTTAAGCTAGAAAACTTAAACTAGATCTTTGCAGAAATAACAAAAAGGACTATATCACTTCATTTTATAGAACGGGGTGCAGTAATCTTGACAGTAGCAATGCAAACAGGTTCACAGTCAAACACGTACTTTGATGTTGAGGGACATTCGCCTGAACATTTTCCAGTCCAGATTTTTTAAGCTGAAAGAATCTTATGTTTCAAATGATTAGAAATAGTTTCTGGAGGAAGCAAGGCAGATTCCGTGGTATAGCTCATTCCGCGCTTTTAAAATACGTCGCAAAACAAATTGCACTGAACGTCCACTTAGGCTCAACTTCCAGGAACCACCAGCGTGTGGCTCAATGGCATTAACTCAACATAATTGTTAAACAGTCAATTTTGTTGCAGTAAAACCTTACTTTCCCAGCACTTTACCAACTGAAAGTGTTTAACGGTCGCTTCCACGAGACAACAATAATTCAAAGTCAAAATGATGGAAAAGGCTGCACCCCAGCATTTTGATGCTGGGAGAAACGTCTCAGAGATCACCAAATCCACACCTGTCCTTCTCAGACCAGACACGAGGGCTCAGGGAGCCCAGTGGCTCCCCAACAGCCCCAGAGCCATTCGTGACAAGGCTGTACCCCAAGTCGTTTCCTGACTCCAACACTGCTCCCTCTTCAGAATTCGCTTATTCAGGACACTCCACTGCTCTGTACATCCTAGGACACTGTAGCTTATACTTCACTTATTAAGGTTATCGTTTTTCCTAAGATATGTACTTCCTAGTTGCTCTCTACCAGAAAAATATTTGCAAGTTTGAAAACTGGTACACAACATGATTATAAAAGCAAGAAAGTGTGGTGATAATTGGGAAATTACCGTAGATGACTGTGGCAAAAATCTTAGTGTTGTCTTGGATTTTTCTTTGCTGGGTGGTTTATCCTGCGTGAAAAACATAAAAAAAACAAAACTGTTCACTCTGTTAATGCTAAAATTGATGAACTCAACGAAATTCTGCAGCATCTAATACAGGGGTGGGCAAACTTTTTGACTCAAGGGCCACAATGGGTTCTTAAACTGGACAGGAGGGCCGGAACAAAAGCATGGATGGAGTGTTTGTGTGAACTAATATAAATTCAAAGTAAACATCATTACATAAAAGGGTACGGTCTTTTTTTTTTTTAGTTTGCCCACGGCTGGTCTAATATAAAGTAAAAAACATATCATCCAAAATGTTCTCAAACATACCATATTTACAGATGGTATGATATTGTGTACAGAAAAGCAAAAGGAATCCACAGAGAATATTAGCGCTAATGAATGAGTTCAGCAAGGCTGCAGAACAGAAGATCGAGACACAAAAATTACTTGTATTTCTATAGACTAGCAATGAACAATACAACACTTGTGGGAAACGAATTCATTTATAACAGCATTGGAAAGGGATAAAATACTTAGGAATACATTTAACAAAAGAAGTGCAAGACTTATACAATGACAGCTATAAGATGTTACTGAGAGAAACTTAAAAAGGCCTTAATAAATGAGAAGCCATCCCTTGTTCATGGATTGGAAGACTAATATTAAGATGCAATAGTTCCCCTCTAATCTACAGATTCAACGCACTCCCTATCAAAATCCAAACGACTTTTTTTTTTATTATTTTGGAAATTAAAAGGTTGATTTTCAAATTCACAGGAAAA